GTATTGGCACCAATTTTTCCTTTAGCGGCTTTGTATTTGAAATTGACTACGCTACTTTATTCAATCAATTTCTCGTCACTTTTAATTGTTTTTGGTAACTAGACAAGCAATCACGTGACTTACCGCATAAAACACAAATATAGTGTAACCTTGATGGTTTTTGTTGCGGCTTTCATATTAGTTTGATAGGGAAGTGATTTTTATGCAACTACCTGAATTGACTTCTGCAGTTTGCTTTTACCGCTGATTCAAAGGAGGAAAAGATGTGGGGTTGTTGTCATTTTACCTGTCGGGTAAGTTTTCGTTCAGTTTCTTTAAAAGCAGAAAAATATTATTTCTTCACCTATTAAGCATTTTTATCACTGCAATTTTCTCTGTTTTGGTAAATTCTAGTATTTTATTCTTTTGTAGTTTTTTGAGCATAACTGTGTATCACTTTTATTTGCTACTTGATTTACCTGGTTTACTTTTACTTCATGGCAGCAGATGATTTACTATTATGGGAAAATTACTTCCTGGGGAATGTCGTGAAGAACGGGCGGGATGTCATTGATAGAAATGTGGTTTAATGGGGCTTAGATGTCTTGCTTTTATGACCCAGTTTTATATACATAATTAGCTGTTGACGCTTAAGCTAACGTGCGGGACAAAAAAAAATGATAGCTATTTTTCTGCCGTCACGGGTGCCTGTTTTACAATCTTATTTTGAATTAATGTCAACGGGTTACTACGAGAAGTAGGTTGAGAGTAATTTATCATCTGTATAATTTATGCTTGCTTTTATCAATTCCGACTCGTATCTTATTAGGAAAAGGTAAATTAAACCGTGTCGTTGGAGAATTTTTTTGGATTTTTTTCAAAAAATGAATCAAGTGGTCGGGAAGAGGCCATTTTTAGTTTTTTCTGTTGGATTCAATGTGGGTGAAGCTTTTTTAAATATATAGAAAGTTAGAAAATCATAGTCTGTTAGAAGGGCTAGCACTTTTCATTATAAACTGCCACTTGATTGACGTGTAGGTGCTGCTAATTTTTTGCTTTTACTGAAATCTTCTTTTGAGTGCAATTCGTTCTACGCCACTAAAAGAAACGTTATAGTAAAATTTAACCGTTCAGTTGTAATCTATCTATAATTTCTTTTTAAAAAAAAATCATATCGAACAAGTTTATCAATATTATTTCGCTGGAGAAGTTTCTGTTCATTTAGTTACAGTCTGATTTATTAGTTGTAAACATCATTTAAATAACCTACTTCTAGAATAATGCTTAACTTTTTCATAAAGGTTTTAAGATTTTTTTCTTATGAGCGTAGCATTAGTTAAAGCATGAACTTGTCAAGAGTTATGCTGGAAGCTGGAGCCGTAAATGGATTTTCACTAGGAATAGCAAAAATTGTGTACCAGGGACCGGTGTTAGGTTAAAAAGATTGTCTTTTATGGAAGGCACTTTGACTGCAGTCATGCTGATTTCTATTTTTATTTGCCATTAAGTGAAATCCTTGCGTCTGGTAGGCATAAACATATACGATTTTGCGAAATTGCAGGAGCGGCAGTATTCTATAAGCGAATGACAAAAATTGTTAAATCGAAGATGGGAAAGTTTTTCATGTGTGATACAGGGTAAACGGTTAGCAACATATGCGCTAAAAAAATTATATCACTGCTAATTTCTCGTATCGTTAAGTAATGAATTTTCCTTCTGTAAAAGCTTGTTGGGAACACTGTTCTTGACTGAGGGGGAATCGCTTGGTATCTGTTTCGTATAAATTGTTGTTTATTAATTTTTACCTTTGTGTCGGCTATTGGATTTGTGAATGGTTGAGTGCCTGATCTGGACACTGTAACTCCATTTATTTTTTGATGCTATCGAGACTTACGGTGAACATTTGTAGATTTATCTTTCTCAGTATATTTCTTTCGCTTTTTTTTTTCTCAGCACCGTTTTACGCTTTTTACGCAATTTCAGGGAAAGATATATAAGTTTTCTAAAATTTTCGCTAGTATTGTTAAAGAGCACTTCTACTATTTAAACAGTTTTGCAGCAATGGACTTAATATGGCAGCTTGGTTCACTGAATCATGATCAAATTTTCAACTCCAAGTTTTTGACTATACTTTCAATAGGAGTTTTTTCGTTTTTCAGGTTGTCTTTTTTCTAGTGTCTGGCATCCTTCTAAATTGCCTTAATAATTTATGTAGACGAAAGAAATTGCTTATTATGCAGAATCTGATCTCTTTTTGATCTTTTTGAACAAGAAAAAGCGATGAAAAGCAAAAACTAGAGACCTTTGTAATTTTTTCACAGCAGTTTTTGATAGGTGTTTGTGAGAAATGTTTCTTGATTCAACCATTCAATGATTTTAAATGACCGGCTACGGTTGAGGTGATGGGATCAAATCGAAACATTTGGTATGACGCCGCGAGTTTAACAAGTGAAGAATATTTAAGTGCTTAATATGTACGTGCTTAATCAGTTTATAGAGTACTTCAAATTGTTGGGTGTGGATAAGTACAGACTTGTGATCATTTCAGTGTTTATAAGTTGAGTGAAGTTGGTCAAAGGGGAACGGAATCATAAATGGAAGAATGTCTTTTCTGAAGACTTTGGAAGTTTTAGACGATGCTGTTACGAATTACACGTTTTGCACATGCATTGCAACATGCTGTCACTAATAGCTAGAAGTTTTGGGTTTTTCGTAGTTGAGAAAGGAAGCAGTTGGGCAGAAAAGCATTGAAAAATAACGAGGTGGGTAACTCATCCTGAAGTTGGAAAGATTCAGTGGAGCAGAACTGGGTAGTCAGAAAGAAAGTGGAAGAACATAAATTGGAAAAAGGGATCCCAAGATGAGCATGCGATAGCCACTTAACGTGTAAAAAATTATTCAAATAATTTTTTTGAGTCACGTCTTCATGTGCAAACATGTTGTAATCTGTTAACATTTTGCGGTCTTCGCTGTTAAATGAGGTTCCTTGAATGAAATAACGACTTCGTTTTCCAGTAATATCATTGTATTTCCGTATTATATCTATGTTTTTAAAGGTTGTCTATGGTGTTGTATTAGTACGAATGAAGTTTTTCTAGTGCTGAAATGAATTCAGATGACTTCGAGAACAGTGCATACTCATCAGACCCTGGGTCGTCACATTCGCATTTAGGTATTACTTTCAAAAATTTTGAGGTTTGTAAGAAGTTAAAAATTTTATGGCCCTCTTTTATCTTTACTGTTCATAGATGGGGCTGTAAAATAGGGCGGGTCGTGTAACAGCCAGGAAAATAAGCAGGAGAACAGTCTAGTCTTAAATCAGGCATTCTCTACCAGCAGAAGCTCTCGTTTATGCTTCATTTGTTCTCAGTAGCTGGTTTTGGTGCAGATTGACTTGTTTTTGAGTTTGGACCTGCGCGTTGGAGGTGTCATGCAGAACACTATAGAAATCCTAGGAGGTCAGTGCAAACTTAGCCAAATATGGAAGAAAACTTTCACGTGACAGTCTGTTAGTTTGATACTCTAATTGAAAAGGAGAAAAAAAAAGAAGGATGGAAGGATATAGCTGTTCTGCTCTTCTAAAAGTCTGCCAGAAATGATCTATCTTATTAAGGACGATGAGAACGTGTCTTTATAAGCTTTGTGAAATCTTCAGAGTCTAGGTTTAAAAAATTTTCATTAGCCGAATCAGTAATGTGGCAGCTGATGGAAAAAGACGTAAACAATAAATTTTGAATTGTAACAATGATAAAAGCTCATAAAAAGCAGATATATGGAGCATAAATTTGTTTGGCGATTTCCATGTTACAATGTTCACCCATTCATCGATTTTTTCGATCTCATTGTGGGGGTTTGAAGTGAAAGAGGTTCAGATTTGCCTGTTTATATTTATATTCTCTATTTTATAGCTATCTTGTGAAATATTTTTTCAAGTATAACACTTCTTATGAAAAAAATATTAAATGATAATGCAAAATTTCAGTTCCAGACGCATCAAATTCCCCTCCTCGGGTTACCACATCAAATGAGGAGAGTGACACAGCAGGTATTTGACTGTTATAACATTTTGTATCATTCACTTCTAGTATGCCATTTATATAATAAATTTCAGATATTTGCCGGGTTTGTAGGAGTGCGGGAGAAGCAGCACTTTACCATCCTTGTCTTTGCACTGGAAGTATCAAGTATGTTCACCAGGAATGTCTCTTGGAATGGCTGAAATATAGCAAGAAAGAAGTATGCGAGTTATGCAGTCACAAATATTCGTTCCAGCCTATATATCGTTCTGATATGCCTTCTAGTTTACCATTCTCAGAAATTGTAAAAGGTATGTAATTTTTTCTCACATTCTGTCGTGCTAATACAGCCTTTACAGATATTTTGAAGTTTTTTTTTTT